AAAAAAATGTTGGAAAGTTTGTAAGTGGTCACAAAATGTTGCACAGTTCAATGTGCGATGAGCATTCCACTGAGTACTTTAAATTTTGTGGAACATCTGTTTTGAAAACAAACCTTCCAAAGGGTTTCTTTTCATAGCATGGGAGTGATGACCCAAACTGGGGTAAAAGAAAATAAACATAGACGTGGTAAGCAGGTACTGACCAAGTCTTCTGTTAACTGTTAGGACATAAAATTATCATATTGTTTTTCACAGTAAGACCTTGTTCTAGTAATCCCTGCTTGAAAGGAAGCTGTAGAGACTTGAAGACGCCTGCCTACAACTGTAGCTGTGATTTTGGTTATGAAGGAACAAACTGCGATGAGCCGAGTAAGTCTTTTTGACAATATAACCTTCGTTGCTACAGGATAACAATTTCATGTTTAGACTGTTACGATGCTGTTATCCACTATATTTCTTTATTCGCTCTTGTACTTTACAAACCATATTTTTATCTATATACAACCAACACACAAACACACACACACACACTAAAATAAGGAACAAATATTGAGCCTGGAAGTTAAATATGTATGACGGTATGTTTATTTAAACGGTTTGTTTTTTAAAAAAAATGCAAATTATGGTCAAACTTGTATCCGGTGAAACTCCAAGACGAAAGTACATATGTATTATAATCATACTACCGTTGAAACCGTACATACATTGTATACATGTACCTGACATGCGTCAAATGTTCAATGATTCAATGATTTGATTACTGAATAATGGGTGCTTGATTTAGAGCGCTTCATCTGGTGCAGACTGGTTACGATACTGTGATTTACCATCATTATGTTTCAAAAAGTTACTGAAAGTTATAGTCCGAACTGTGGACAGCCTACAATGCATTCAGCGGGCAATTGCAAAAATCACATTCATCCAGTATAGCCAACTCTAGCTACGAAAACCTTTTTTTTTTGGAACTGGAAGAAGGTACCCTTTCTTTTGGAAACAGACACGCTTTAGTGAGTGTCAAACTGCAATAGAAAATAGGAAAAAAAACAAAACGTATGTAAAACATTGCATTCAGGTTTCCAAGTATGTTTGAGTTAAGTTTTGTCAGACCTGTTTTGTATTAAGCAGACACTTACTCAGTCTTAAGGATGATCATTCAATAAAGGTTGTTTAACTGTTGAGGTATTGGTGCATGTGTCGATGTGAAGATTCATAGCACAGCATGCCCAACCTTGGTCTTATATCCAGTCACTTCTGGCAAGCAGATACAACTTTGCGTTGTGTATTTGGGCGATGTTGGTAACATAGCTGCTTCTGTTTTTCGCTGCAGTTCCACAGCAAAGTGAAAATGTAAGAGGTGAAGTAAAACTGAAACAGGTCCAGTATCACCCAGACTACAAGAACCACAGCAGTAAGAGGTTCAAAGAGCTTAGTAATCTTTTTAAAACTAGTGTAAGTATTTTGCTCTCTCAAAGTCTTGTTTCTCTTCCTCAGGCACAGCACAGTAATATCCACAGTATTGTGATGACACAGGAGGCAAAAGTAATAACCAAACCTCGCTTTGTCATTACATATTGAAAATGTTAATTATGCAGGAGTAGAAGAACGTTTTTTTTTTTTTTGTCATTTTTGAACATGAACGTGCAACACACTGGCATCTTTCTACAACGCTTTGAAATTTATTCATGTTCCAACTCCTGTAACAATTTCTCTTGTCTTTTGGCCCACTTTATTTCTCCAGTTGGCGTTTCTTTCCTGTTAAAGTGCACCTAACCCC